GGAAGAAAAGAGGAATGTGAAGAAGAGAGAGAGAGAGAGAGAGAGAGAGAGAGAGAGAGAGAGAGAGAGAGATATGGAGAGATGGATGATAGGTAGGTAGATAGATAGATAGATGATAGTTGTGAATTTCCTGCATTGTGCACGGGATTATGGATGGATAGATGATCTACAGAGAGAGAGAGAAATAGATAGACAGACAGACAGACAGATGGATGGATGATAGGTAGGTAGATAGATAGATAGATAGATAGATAGATAGATAGATAGATAGATAGATAGATAGATAGATAGATAGATAGATAGATAGATAGATAGATAGATAGATAGATAGATAGATAGATAGATAGATAGATAGATAGATAGATAGATAGATAGATAGATAGATAGATAGATAGATAGATAGATAGATGATAGTTGTGAATTTCCTGCATTGTGCACGGGATTATGGATGGATAGATGATCTACAGAGAGAGAGAGAAATAGATAGACAGACAGACAGACAGATAGATGGATGGATGATAGATAGATGATAGGGAGGTAGGTAGATAGATAGATAGATGTGAATTTGATTGAATCTGGGACCTTCTGTGTGCCAAGCAGATGCTCTACCACTGAGCCCCTCCCCTAAATTATCCATTGATTTATCTGACCCCTCTTCAAAAGACTCATGAAACTGCCTTATACTGACTCAGACCCTTGGTCCATTGAGGTCAGTCTTGTCCACTCAGACGGGCAGCGGCTCTCCAGGGTCTCGGGCTGAAGTCCTTCCCATCCCCTCCTGCCTGGCCCTTTTCAACTGGAGATGCCGGGGATGGAACCTGGGGCCTTGTGCGTGCCAAGCAGAGTCCCTGCCACACAGTCAGCAGATTTGCTGCGTGCTGCTTTTAGGCCCCCGTCGCTCTGTCTGGATCAGCGACTGTTCCACGTTAAAAACTGGTCCTCTGGAGTCAAGGGTGCTGTGACGTGGTGCTATCCAGTGGCATGACTTCTCCCAAACCCTACAGTGACCAGAATAGTCTAAGAGCCAGTCTTGTTAGGCAGGTGACACAGGTTCAGAGGTGCACTGGCATACAGCCACAGTGCCCTTTTCCCCCAGTTTCATACAGCCAGTGCCCTGGTCAGTGGGCCAGCACTGCTGTACACAACCTAGCCCTCTTGCCGAGGTTTGAAGCCGTGAAGTTGTTTGGCGCTGCACTTCAGATGCATTATTCAAAAAGCCACTGACTTCAACAAGTAGAATTTAGAATCACAGAGTTGAAAGGGATCCCCCAGGGTCATCTACACCAACCTCCTGCACAAGGAATTCACACATGGAATTCACTGCCACAGGACCATAAAGGAAATTGTTCAGTAAAAACATATCCAGGCACAAAGTGAATATGCGCATACAGTCTTTTTAGTGCAATCACTAGCCCAGTAGATATAAAATCAACCTATGGTCCACAAATAATCTTCTTAGATTGTGTTGCCACAATAATTACAAGTATGGTCCTAATTGAAATTATATTTTGTATACATTTTTGATTGTGTTTTATGAGTGTAACTATTTACCATCTAGCCACACTTGTATGACCTCTGAGGAAGGCCGATCCGGCCGAAATGCGTCAGGTCATTTTTTTAGCCGTGGTTATGATTATGGTTTATGTATATTGGCTGTAATTGGGCCCCTATATATGTTTTATTTTGATATTATTAATAAATACATGTACTTCTTTTTATGAATAGGTTTTAATATTGGCCCTCTTTTCCACTAAACCTTTGTTTGGTTTTGGATTTCTTTGTTAGGTTTAGTTTTCTTTCCCTTTTTTGTCCCTGCTTGGGGGGGAGCAACAGTGGGAGGGCTTCTAATGTCCTGGCCCCACTGCTGGACCTCCTGATGGCACTGGTATTTCTGGCCACTGTGTGACACAGAGTGTTGGACTGGATGGGCCTTTGGCCTGATCCAACATTGGCGTCTCTTATGTTCTTAAGGCAGGAAATTCACAAATACCTCCCCCCTCAACACCCCCAGTGACCGCTGTTCCACGCCCAGAAGATGACAAAAAACTGGCCTGGAGAAAAATTGCTTCCTGACTCCAAAGTGGTGATCGGCAGTTCTCTGGGCGTGTAAGAAAGGGCCACGAGAACTAAGCACTGGGGCAACCCTTCCTGACCTCCCTTCTCATTATCTTCCTAAATTCACAGAATCCGCATTGCTGTCAGGTGGCCCTCTAGCCTCTGCTTGGAAACCTCCAAAGGAGGAGAGCCCACCACCTCCCGAGGAAGCCTGTTCCACTGAGGAATCGCTCTAACTGTCAGGAAGTTCTTCCTAATGTTTAGCCGGAAAACTCTTCTGATTTAATCGCAACCCGTTGGTTCTGGCCCGACCTTCTGGGGCAACAGAAAACAACTACGCGCCATTCTCTATAGGACAGCCCTTTGAGTACTTAGAATCACAGAATGTTAGAGTTGGAAGGGACTTTGCAGGTCATCTAGTCCAACCCCCTGCACTCTGCAGGATGGATGCAGCTGTTTCTTTAAGAGTCCATTTGTAGTGGAAGGTGCCATCAGTTTGCAGCTTAATTATGGCAACAGCACAGGGTTTCCAGGGCAGGAGACGTTCAGAGGTGGTTTGCCATTGCCTGCCTCCATGTAGCAAACCCTGGACTAGAGATGTAAAATTTCCGGAGATTTTGAAGCTCGGAAAAAAACCCGTTTCCCCCCCAGTTTTTTTCAGGAAAAAACGGGAATTTTTGGAAAAATTGGAAAGAAAAAAAGCTACATTAGCTTTTCTTTTGTCTTTTCTAGATTGAAAGTCATTCTGTAACTTTAGGAACATAAAATATGACTATGGACATTTTAACTTGGCATGAAATTATCACAACTAGCCTATTAAGAATATAGTGTATCCAAACAATTATTACAAACAGAATACCCACCCACATGCAAAAACAAAACTGAAAACTTTTTATTTTCTTTTGACAATCGCGCCTCCTAAAGGAAGAAATGTGTCTTGTTCTTGCATTGGAGAGTTCAGTTTGTAACCTAGGACTTGCTTGTCCTCAGTGCACAGAAATTAGATCAATCTGATACCATATATATATTAGAAATGATTTGGAAAATATTTGAACACCTTGTCTTAAAATATTTTATTCATCATGTTAAAATACAACGTTCCATGATCAATTTCTTTTCTTTTTTCAATTTTTTCAATTTTTCGGGGGGGGTGGGGAGGCTTCAGGACAAAAACGGGGAAAAAACGTTTTTCCCCCCTGAATTTTTCCGTTTTTTTCCCAGGCCTTCCCATCTCTACCCTGGACTCCCTCGATGGTCTCCCATCCAACTACTAACCGGGGCCAACCCTGCTTAGCTTTCAAGGTCTCACAAGATCAGCCTAACATGGACTATCCGGGTCAGGGCAAGAGTCCTTTAGACACGAATAAATATTATCCAATGGGCAGTAACGGCCTCATCCAAAGGATGTGTCCCCCCCCCCTCCCCGCAAAAGAAAACCCACCTGAGTGACATCAGGAACATCAACGAAGTCAGTGCCGGGAAGCTGCAGTCCTTCTTCTTCTTCCTGGTGCCCACTGTCTTCTGGAGTGCCCTGTAAGTGGGAGGGCAAGCAAAAAGTTGAGATTCAGCTGGGGGAGACACCTCAGAAATACAATTGCAGCCTTCCAGAGGCCCCTGCTCTGCAGCGAAGAAGGCTGCAGCTGAATCAATGTGGACTATTTCACTCCATGAAATTGCTGAGCGGTCAGGTTAGAACAGATAAAAGGAAGTCCTTCTTCACCCAAAGAGTGATGAACACGTGGAGTTCACTGCCGCAGGAGGTGGCGGTGGCTATAAGGATGGACGGCTTCAAGTGGGAATTAGATAAGCATATGGAGCAGAGGTCCATCAGTGGCTATTAGCTCCACAAGGAGCTGCGGTGGCTCAAGTGGTTAAGATGCTGAACTGCAGGCTGTGGAAGGTCAGTAGTTCAGAAGTTCAAGACCCAGGTGCCGCATGACGGAGTGAGCTCCCGTCTCTGGTTCCAGCTCCTGCCAACCTAGCAGTTCGAAAGTGAGAAATTGCAAGTAGATAAATAGGTACCACTTCGGTGGGAAGGTCACAGCGTTCCGTGCGCCTTGGGGTTTAGTCATGCCGGCCACATGACCATGGAAATGTCTTCGGACAGCGCTGGCTCTTCGGCTTTGAAACGGAGATGAGCACCGCAACCCTAGAGTTGGACTCGACTGGCTTTCGAGCAAGGGAACCTTTACCTTTATAGGTAGGAACTCTGGGGCAAATGATGCTCTGTCTTCTTGGTGCTTGGGGGGGGGGTGAACAGTGGGAGGGCTTCTAGGGTCCTGGCCCCACTGGTGGGCCTCCTGATTGCACTGGTATTTCTGGCCACTGTGTGACACAGAGTGTTGGACTGGAT